ACTGACAACCTACCAGACCATCCCAGCCCAGCCCGAAGACCCAAGCTTCGCGAAGACCAAAGCTTCGGGTGGGGGCGCGGGGTAAGGGCTCCATGTGTGCATCTTCAGTGTTCCCCGACGCCACCCCCCCACTGGGAATGAGGGGAAAAATTGGGGCCTTCGGGTTGGGTTGGGGTGGTTCGGGGGTGAAGGACATGGACAACATCGGATCAGAACAGATCGGGAACCTCTGAGACCTGGCGGTTCCGGAGGGTGCTCGTGTAGGGGATCGACTACAGAATTGATCTGCCCATTTTTTCCATCGACTCCACGAACAATACATAGAACGTTCTGTAGATCTACTGAGCTTTCCACGCATTCTGCGCAGATTTGACGTAACACATATTTTTGGAGTACAGTAGGGGGCCATCCACAAGAAACCTTGCACAAGAAATTCAACCCTGAGACCCCACAACGTCCATTGATTTTTCGTATGGGAAAGTCGCGCTTTCCACTGCAAAACCATCGAAATCCAAGAAGCCCAGGGCACCCTGGAGGCAAGCAGGGTATGTCTTGGCATAGGCCCCCCACTCTAGGTCGGGCATGTCCTTCTACAGCCAGATTTGGGGACCATGTAAATAGTCAGAAACAAAGTCTAAAAAATTAATCAAGAGAGCACGACAAATCGTCACCATACCATTTTCTTACTATTCTTGAATAGTTCTCCTGTAGAGGGACATTCCCGACTTAATCCTAGTCCTCGCCATCCACCGGTCTGGCATCGTGCACGTCGCCCTCCTGTTGCTGCGGGAACTCCTCTCCTCCTCCTCCTCCTCCTCCTCCTCCCCCCATCCGCGGGCCCTCGCCTCCTCCCCAGCATGCTCTTCCCCCCTCCTCTCTCGTGACCGACGCCTCCTGATGAGCGTTTTCTTATTCGGCGTTTCGACAATGAGCGAAGAGGGGGGAGGGGGGGAATCTGGCTCTGGACCTCTGCTTAGTGTGACTGTTTGCGACAGTGCTTCCTATGGAGGAGGCTCCACCTGCTCGAAACAGGCGCCTAAAACAGCCAAGATCTACTCCATGGGTGGGGGAGGAGGGGGTGCGAGGGCCCGCGCCGATCGGCAAACAATGAATAAGAGAACGACGACCTCCTGCTGCTCACTCTGTTCCGCTTAAAATTGCTGTTCTACGACTTCCAGAAACGGTTGTTATCCGACGGAGTGAAGGCTGACGGTCACGTTTGGGACGGAGTAGGGCAAGTCGGGGCGGGGTTGCGCTGCGATCGCCCGAAAGCACGAGGGGTGAGGCTCCAGGCTCCCCCCCTGCATACGATCGTGACCATTACCAGGGGGGGGGACCGACCATCACGCGCCACAAGATAAAGAAGCACTCTCCTCCCCCGCCTGCCGCCTCCTGCTCCTCACATTGTTCCGCCTTCCCCCCTGACCATTGGAGATTGAACTGTTCCAATCGCGACGGACGAGATCGATCGCTACCGTTTTTCAAATGCCGGCATCGGTCGGGATCGACTTAGGAAGCGGCCGCGATCGGTCGCGACCGATTCATAATGCCGATCGGCCGCTGCCGATCGCGACCGAACCAAAAACGCTTTCCAGTGAACTGCGCGCCACGATCACACGTGCACAACCACCCGCCGACGAGTACTCCGCGTGCCTTCAAGGGAGGGTGGATGTGTGCAAATTCGCTGGCTCGCAGCGGTGATTTAAACACCGCCGCCCTCTGCATGAGGCCTTGGAAGAATAGGCTGGAGGGCGTCTGTGTATGATATTCTTCGTGGCGGCATCTGGGCGGGGTCCTCCCCCATCCTCTCTCGCACGCTAGGCGGCGCGCACGAGGGGGCAGGGGTAGGGGGGAAGGCCTCCTGGAAGGAGGCCACTTCTCAGAAGGCGCCAGCCCTACATCTACAGACAGGGCCCGCGCATTCTAAGAGGCGTCCACCCTCAATCTCCAACACATAGGGGCCTTCACGAGGAGGAGGAAGAGGAGGAGAAGGAGGAGAAGGAGGGGGAGGAGGGGGAGGAGGGGGAGAGGGGGGAAGGGGACGGAGAAGAGGAGGAGGAGGAGGAGGAGGAGGAGGATAGGGGGAACAAGAGATAGAGGAGGAAGAAGAGGAAGAGGAACAGGAAGAGGAGGAACCGCTTTTCTGCACCGCCGAGAGAGACCGGGGGGGGGTATCGAAACCCAAAGACCCCTTGAGGACCCCCCCTGCGTGTGGCCGACGTCCTCACTCGCACTGCCCAGAAAAGGGGAGCACGGCAGACGAGCCCGCGGCGCCCGTCCCCCGCAGCCGCGCGGGGGGGGGGGGGGATGGGGCGAGCGACGGGCGCCCCGCGGCGGACGCCGCTCGGGGCTGGCCGGCGGGGAGGACGGGGAGGAGAGGATGCGCACGCTCCACTGCTCGCAGGGTAACGACTCGCAGGTGGCCTGGACCCACTGCGGGGGGGGCTACGATCCACCACATACCGTGGGGGCCCGACCACAGGAAGCCCTCCACGAGAAGCCTAGAACTGAGACCCCAGGGCGTCCATTGATGTTTGGTGTGGGAAGGTCGCGCTTTCCATCGCAGAACCATCGGGACACAAGAAACCCAGAGCACCCTGGAGGCGAGCAGGGTGTTTCTTGGCATTGGCCCCCACTGTAAGGGTGCGCGGTAAGGATGCAAAAGGGCCTTGGAAGGCCACGTCGAAGCTTTGCGAGCGGGCCGCAGCTAGCGAAAGCGGCCAAGGATGGCCCGAAGGGGATGTGAGGGTACCCTCGGGAAGGTGCCCATCCTTGCTGTGCGGGCCGACCGTATCCACTGGCGAGCGTCTGGCTGTCTTCGGCGGTCTTCGGCGGCCTTCTGGCGATCCTCGGCGGTCTTCGGTCTTCGGCGCCCTGTGGCGTTCACAGTGGATGGTTGCGATCAACGCGGGGTCCACGATTGAGCACGTGATCAGAGTGCCCTGGCCTTGGAGGCGTCCAGGGGACCTGAGCTGGGGATGGGCCCAGGGAACATCTGTGAGGAGGGGGTGCGAGGGCAGATCCTCGCGAAATCGATCGCCGGACTCCTCCTGGGGTCGAAACTGACGAGCGTTCCGAGCCGCATCCAGCCGTGGCGACGAGGCCCATTTGGGCCCCCTTCTGTCTTGCCATCGCTCGGACGTCCATTACCCGTGTATCTGTCGGCGTCGTGCGCTCATTGCTTCGCAAGCTGATCCAAGATACTCCTCGATGGTCCTCGCCGACGAAAAAAAGCACACGTCCGAGCGATGCCGAGCTTTCTGCTGGCCCGAATCAGTGCTGGACCATCTCAGCTCCGAGCCGGCTCCAACCTGGGCCACCCGCCGCTGGCCAAGTCGTGCAGGTTGGTGTTACCTGCCCTCTGCAAGGCTTTCTCGCGAGGCCGCCCCGGGACGGCGGCCGCCCCCGCCCTGGCCCCGCGCCCTGGCCCCGCGCCACCGCCACGACGACGAGGAGGCTGAGGAGGAAGAAGTCGACCCCTGCTCAGAATCAAAAACGACTAGTTAGCTAGCCATCCCCTCCTCATCATCATCATCATCATCATCATCATCATCATCATCATCATCATCATCATCATCATCATCAGCAGCAGCAGCAGCAGCAGCAGCAGCAGCAGCAGCAGCAGCATCACCCCACCATCATTATCACCCCACACCCCCCAGCAGCAGCACCACCACCATTACAACCACCGTAATGATAATCATCCTCATCATATCGTCATTATCGTCACCATCACCATCATCATCACCATATTCATCATCATCAACATCATCATCATCAGCAACAGCATCACCATCATTATCCTCCTTATGATCATCATCAGTCGCATCATAATCAGCATCATCCTCATTACCATCAGCAGCAGCAGCAGACACAATATCGTCATCATCACCATCGCAATCACCATCACCGTCACCATCACCACCACTATCGTCAGCATCATCATCACCACCATCATCATTTTCATCTTCAGTATTGTCATCATCTGCATCATGCTCGTCATCAACATCATCGTCATAGTCAGCATCTGCGCCATCATCACATCCTCGTCATCATCACAAGCATGATCATCATCATCGTCAGCATCAGAAGCATCATCATCGCCATAAGCATCATCAGTTTTATCATCAGCAGCAGCACAAACATCATCGCCTCCATCATCAGCGTCATAGTCGTCATCACCATCGTCAGTGTTATCGCCAGCATCAGCCTCCTCCTCCTCATCATCATCATGATCAGAATCATCATCATCATCATCATCATCGTCATCATCATCATTATCATCATCATCATCCTCATCAACATCATCATCATCATCATCGTCGTCGTCGTCGTCAGCATCGACATCAGCATCACCGTCGTCAACAGCATCAGCATCATCATCACCATCATCATCATCGTCATGATCAGCTTCATCAACAGCAGCAGCACCACCACCATCATCATAATCATCAGCATCAGCATCAGCATCAGCATCAGCATCAGCATCAGCATCATACTCGTCGTCGTCGTCATCACCATCACCATCGTAATCGTCATCATCAGCAGCATGACCATCAACATGATCATCCTCATGATCGTCATGGGCATGGTCAGCGTCAGCGGCAGCGTCATCGCCATCATCATTACCATCAGCATCATCAGCATCATCAGCATCATCATCAGCATCGTCATCATCGTCAGTGTCATCGTCATCGTCAGCATCATAACAGCACCATCAGCATCGTCATCATCATCCTCATCAGCATCAGCATCATCATCGTCATCAGCATCGTCAACATCATCACCATCATCATCATTGGCGCCATCGCCATCGCCATCATCCTCAGCACCGTGATCATCATCCTCATCAGCATCATCACCATCATCATCCTATACCTCTGTCTCAACGGTCGCTCTCCCCGCGTCCCTCTCCCTCTCTCATTACCCCTCACCGCTCATGGAGGGGAAGAAGGAGCATGAGAAACGGAGGGAGGGGCATGAAAATGACTGGGCTTGTTTTGCTCCGCGCTGGCACTAGGAAGTGGAAGCGGCACGCTACAAGCTTGACAAGTACGTGCGTGAAAAGCTCGTCGGAGAGTGCGACGAGCAATGTGCAGAAAGAAGGCGTACGAACGAGACGGCTGGAGACTGAATTCACGCCATGTGGAACGAGCGCGCGAAGGCTCCTGCACGAACACAACGTGCAATAGGCAAAACTAGAGCCTGCCAAGGAGGCGTCCAGAGATTGCGCCTTCGCGCTTTTTGGAGGGCCTCGATGCAGGGGTAAAACGGCGAACGCTCTCACACGCATCCCAACGAATCCTGTCAGTCCTCTGAGGGCACCGCAAGCCCCGGAAAATCCAAGAGGACAGGGAGCAGGATGGAAAGGGCGAGGGCGAGGGTGGGGGCGAGAGAAAACAATGTGTATGGTGGAGGAGGGTGGAAGAGGGCGGAGGATGGTGGAGGATTCTGAAGGAGGAGGGGGGGCGGGGGGGGGAACGAGGGTGCGGAGAGAGAGAGAGAGAGAGAGAGAGGGGAAGAGAAGGATGAGGACGACGACGACGATAAGGAAGAGGAGTTGGACGAGCATAGAGGAGCAGGAAAGAGTGGGGTCGGGAAGGGCAGGAGGGGAGTAGAAGCGGAAGGTGGGGAAGAAGGGGACGAGGGGCTTGATCATGTATGGCAAATCCTAGCCGATGCCAGACATCGCATCATTCGACGCAACCTCATTTGGCTCGTGATCTTCTCTGACGTGGACCCCGACCGCGATAACAAAACTGCGAATCGCCCGCTCGGAACAGTCGAAACCATCCCAGATCACGACGAACTCAGCGCAGCCTCGAAGGGGGTCGAGAGGTAGTGTTCATGATCAATCAAACGACCAACCGATTCTGACTGGACGATCACCTGCCTGAAACATACGCGTCCCCTTCTAGTCCGCCGTCATGTCCCCAACTTGAGGCAACACAATTTCAAGGCAGGTTCCTGCTTCGACGCGGGATACGATTTCCTGACTTCGCGTGAACCTGTCAATCTTGAAAGATCTCAGCTCAGTGAGAACCCCGGATGCAATCCATCTCATCTTTTGTATGGATTTTGCGCTGAGGAATATTGGTTGTTGGCCCTAGGGCCAGAAACAAGCCCCATCGGGGTCGCCCACGCGTCGAGAGTGCATCGCTGTGGGTCACCATGGCCACGCGAAGATCCACGAACACTGGACCATTGAACAATTAAGATCGGGCGATCTGCCGATGGAATCATGGGCATGCCGCAGCTATGATACTCAACCCGTGCATGTGCATCCCAAACCGAGGCAGCCAGGGTGCAGGGTAGGCGAGGTGGACAGAAGAGTCGACACAGGAGGAATGTCATGTCACGACCAAGGGGTAAGGGGAAACGTCAGGGGGGACCAGCTCAGGGGGGAAGCAACGACCTGGAATCAGCGATACATCACCGATAGATCGGCGGTAGGCCCTCGATAGCGGATCCGCACGTTCCTCGGCGGGTTTGGCTATCGGGCCCATATTGACATCGGCGATCAATGGTGGGACTACCTTACATTACCACTACCATAGACCAGGCACGACTGACACCTAATTACGGTGGCGCGCTGTTGCGAGGCCCCATCCTAGCCCAGCAAACCACTACCAAAGGTTTGCCGTCCATGGTCTACACCCTGCGAAATGCTTAAGAAATCATGGGTTAAGAAATTCAGAGTCTCAGAACTTGAAATCAAACCCAGAATGTCTATTCAAATCTTAGGATTTACATTGAAACATTAAGAATAATCGAGACTCTGGCCGAAAACTTGGGTTTTCTTAAGCATCGCCTAAGGTCTATGGTGGTGGTGGAGGAAAATGAGCCCAAGAATCAGTGGACGGTTGGCGGTCGACGAATTCCCTCCCTGAGCATATCCCTCCATGACGCTGCCCCTGAACAAAGAGGGCGAGAAGGCAGCGGATGATGCTTAACCAAAAAAGGAACCCCGACCCTCTGCGAGGGGGGAGGACCTGAGCTGGGAGGGCCAAAGACAGTAGGGATTACGTTTTTTGTTATGCAGATGCATCGAGCAACAGTAGATGTGTGTATGTATGTTTGTCTGCATGTATGTCGGTAGGTAGGTCGGCAGGCAGGTAGGTCTATATGTATATGCGAAAAACATGAGTACAGAAAACAAGTCAAACAAAAATTAGGTTCGCTCAAAAAAGAAGGTCCCCTGACTATGGTCTGACTATGTTTGAATATTCCTCCTGTAGAGGAACAGGCCCGACTCCATGCCGTCGGGGTCAGGGGGCTCTCTTCTTATCCTCGATGCGAGAGGGCAGGATAGAAAGGGGGGGAACGCGGGGACCGTCTCTTCAAAACGAGGACCCAACACCACAGGATGGTTGAGGAAAAAAACGATCACATGCGGCGCCAATTTTACCGGCCAATCCGATCTGAATGGCTGCCGATCTTGGACGCTTCGCGGAACCCCACCAATTGCAGTCAGGCGACAGCGTGCGAGTCTCTCTGACGCCTCTGCTTAAGCATGGTTCAGACACCCTGGGACTCTATGGTACACCATTCGCTGCGCCGAGGTTGGCAGGCTCCATACTTCGATGGTGTCTCAAGCGGAGTACTGCTGGGCCATGGTCTCAGACACCTTGGGGTTATTTGCATCGCGCCATTTTGGCAGCGTAGTTGCAGACTCCCTGGGTGCTGGTCCCTGGGCGTCAGACAACCTGGGTTGCAGCACCCTTACACCCGCCGCCCCGGCGCCGGCCGCGGCCCGCGCGCGCGTCCGGCCAATTAGTTTCGGCCGCAGCCCGACCGTTACTCGCCGCCGCTGACGCTCCCGCCCGCGGCTGTAAAAAAAAAAGAAGTAACCCCACCAATCCCCATCCAGAAGCGATGCACGAGAGGGATCAAAAGAAAGCTTGCAAGCTCGAACCCGCCGTGTGGGCATCGATCCGAGTCGAATCGACACCCATTTCGGCCGTCGTCGTCGTCCCAGCTTTGGCCCCACAGCGGGTCCTTCCGAGGCCCCCTCGACGACTGCGGCCGCTGCACCGGCGGCAGCGACCTCGGCTGCGGCGACACCCCGGCGCTGCTGGGGCTGGGGTCCCCCAGCGAGCCCCTCGCGGTCGCCGGTGTGACCTACCGGGGAGACGTAAGGCTCGGGTTCGGGGGGCGCCCATAGCTTGGCAAACGCGGGTCCAATAGCCTGGCATACGTTGAAACTGTCCGAAGGAGAGAGAGAGAGAGAGAGAGAGAGAGAGAGATAAAAAAAAGAGAGGGGGGAAGAAGACCTCACATTGAGAAGGATAGGGGAAGCTGTGCGTGTGGCGCCGACCAAATGGATGCGAGCGTGGTGGAAAAATCGTGTGCGCAAACGCGCCTGTACCAGATTGATCGTCAAGATGCTGGAACAGCAGACAACGGTTGCACACACACACACACACACACACACACACACACACACACACACACACACACACACACACGCATTTCGGGGAAACGTAAGAGTCGGGTTTGGGGGACTCGGGTTGGCCTGACGAGCCTATCAGGAAAATGGCAAGACCCAATCTGAAAATCGAGGCGAACTCCTGCTGCAAACATCCCACGAAAACCAGACCGTCAAAATACAGAACACGCTCATCAAAAGCATCGGCAAACTAGAGTTCTGGCGTACTCGAGTCTTACGTTTCCCCTAACCTAGAGAAAGAGAGCTACGTACAGTCACCCCGTACAATAAGGATGCGCGATGCATATGCAAGGGCCTTGGAAGGCTACGTCTACACTCTGCGGGCGAGGCGCGGCCAGCGAAAGCGGCCAAGGATGGGCCAAAAGGGCAAGGATGCAAGGGTTATCTTGGAAAGTCGCTCGTCCTTACTATGCGGGTTGACTATACACAGAACCCCCGCGTCGTGGAAGAAACACGACGGAGGGTTTTGATATTTTCGGCCTCCAGGGGCCCAGAGCTATCAAGACAAGACTCGGGATGAAAAACTGGTCGGGGGAATGGGTCGAGACCCCTGGAGTTCGACGTTGTGAACAAGCATGAAGGTCGGGGGTGTGGGTATGCGCATGCACCGATCCAGGCCCGGGTGCGCACAGACAGACCCCCCAGGCAGTCCCAGCTGGCCTCACCAAGCCCCCCTGGCAGTCCCAGCTGGCCTCGACAGGCCCCAAAACTAGCCTGGGCGGTCTCGACACTTTGCCGCCGCCTGCGGCGGCGCCCCCGCCGTGGACTACAGTAGGGGCTCGACCACAAGAAACCTTCCATAAGAAACCCCACCCTGAGGCCCCAGGACGTCGGTTGATCTTCGGTGTGGGGACGTCACGCTTTCCGTGGCAAAACCATCGAAACCCGAGAAACCCAGGGCACCCTGGAGGCAAGCGGGGTGTTTCTTGGCAGGGGTCTCCAAGGGAACTCTGGGGGCCTGCGACTACCCTCCTGGCCCGGCCAGGGAGGCATGCGGCCAACTCTGGAAGCCCTGAACCAGACGCTTCCAAAGCGCGGACCCCACAAAGTGTGATTCTGGCAAGCTGTGTTGTGCAATCGATGCGGCACAATCGATCGGATTGCCGTCGATCGGACTGCAATCGATCGGACTGCGGTCGTGGAAGCTGGGTGGTGCAGTCTGTAATTATTGCGACAGTCATGCGTTTCAATCGATTGTAATAGATTGGATTGCAATGGATTGCATTGCAAGCGATTGCATTGCAACCGATTGGATTGCAATCCGAAACAAGGGCAAAACTACGGCGGCGACGACGCGGCGATGGGGCGGCGACGGCGAAGCCATAACCCCCAGACCGACCTCATGACCCAGACGACGGGCAGCGACGAGGCGGCGACGGGGCGGCGACGACGACGACATACCCGCCAGAACACCAATAAGTGCAAGCACTGTTTGGGGAAATACATTGCCATCTTTTGGGGGCTCATCTTTTACTTCCGCCGGCTTCCTCCGGCGGAGGCGTCCTCGTTTTACTTCCGCCGCCTTCCGCCACCTGCACCGAGGAAGACGCGCAAGCCCCCGACTCCCGATCCTTCGAATACTAAACACGTTGCACCAGGATCGGTGCATGCCACGAGCGGCGAACGTATCCGTATCAACGCCCTCGTGGGTCTGGATTCCAAAACGCGATCCCGCGGATACGCGGTCGCACGGATACGTTCCGCGCGGGCCATGAGAAGAAAAAACGCCACGTATCCGCCGGGTCGTGGCCCAGAAGCCCAGCCCGCGAGGCCGCAGATACGGAAGTGTCTTCCTATGTTTCCCGCTCACGATCGGCGACTCTGAAAGCTATGGTCTACAAAGCGTATGGCTTGCAACCAGCGCCCTGGGAAAGCGGGCGAAAACGTCGACTGGGATCTCCGCCGCGTCCTGACGGGGGCTCATCCCACACACTTGGCGCAGAGGGATGACCATCGCCAGGCCCCAAGGGAGCCGATCGCAAAGCACACCCTGCCTGACCACGACCTCTGCAGTCGCCGACACGAACATATACTGACTACCTGCCAGACCACCCCAACCCAACCCGAAGACCCGAATTTCGGGTTGGGGGGGGTAAGGGTTCCACACGTGTTTTTTCGACGTTTCCCGACCCCCCCCCACTGGAAATCGAGGGTAAATCTGAGCCTTCGGGTTGGGTTGGGGTGGTTTGGTGGGTGGTGATATACACAGTTCTCGTCGTCCGAAGGGCCGCCGCGTGGACGGAGGCCGCGCTCGTCCTCGCGGGCGACGCGGTGCCCGCGCTGGGCAGCTGCGGCAGCGCCGTGGAGGCCGCTGGGCTCCCCGACTTGGCGGACTGGGGACGGCCCTGGCCCCACGCCGCGGAGGCCTGCCGGAGGGGGCTTAACACGGCACAGTCGGGGATGGACAGAACCCCCGTTAGTAAAGCGTGGTTTAGTGAGAACGACCTCGGGCCCAAACCTGGCGGGCGGAAGCCTGGAAAATGACGGCCGCGGCGCCCTCTCGAGAACCGAAAACGGACAATTCACTAATCGACGCGTCAGGGTGGGGGTTCTGTCCACCCGCGACACAAGCATGAACTTTCGGCGCTCCGCACGGATTTCCAGGATCGCCGACCACACGCAAGAGTGTCCCCCGGAAGGAACGACATGTGGTGCGCGACTTTACAGGGCCGCGGGTGGGCCAAATCCAGGCTCGCAGGCCGGTGCTGGGGGGACCCCTACGAGCCCGCACCCAGGGCCACTCTGGCGAAGGGTCACTCCTTTTCTTCCGTCGCCTGGGTGCCAAGCCTCGTGAGGTGCACGATACAAGACGGCGATGCTCCAGTGCTACTCTGGAAGCTGATCTGTCGAATAGGAAAGAGGAAGCGAGAGGAGGAGAAAGGGAGAAAAACGTCGAGGAAGCGAGAAAGGGAGAAAGGGAGAAAAACGTCGAGAAAGGGAGAAAAACGTCGAGAAGAGGAGCTACTCGAGGGAGGGGGAGGGAGAAGAACGTCGACTTGCACATGGACAGCGGGCCGAGGGGGGAGGAGAGAAAGACGTCTCTGGGCCGCGCGCAGAGGGGTGCAGGGGGAGGTGGGAATGCTTCTTAGGAGGAGGCCGCTTCTCAGAAGGCGCTGGCCTGCATACGGCAGGTTCGCGTCGTGCCGACTTCGGCGTTGGTATTTGACGCCGCGGGGATCGTTCAACCTTGAACGATCGGCCGTTTCCGAAACGTCCAAATCGTTCCACATCGATCGATTCTGGGTCGCCGTCGGCGTTCAACCTTGAACGCCGGCGGCGGGGTCGCCGCTGGTCGACACGACGCAAACCTACCGTACATAGTTAGATAAGGCCCGCGCCTTCTCAAAACCAGCCTCCCTCCAAGAAGCCTCTCCCCCTCTCCCCCTCCTCCTGATCCCCCTCTGCGCGTGGCCGATATCTGGCGAAGGGTCACTCCGACGCGAAGCCGACATCAGCGCTAGACCCCCCCCCCCGTCCGGGCGCAGTCGGAGCGCGCCGGTGGCGGCGGCGGACGGAGGCGCCTCCAGGGACCCGGGTGGGGGAACTATGTGGGGAACTCGTGGGGGGAACGTGTGATCGATGGCCACCGTGAGACGAAAGCAGAATCGAGACAACATCCGACCGATACACGTCGGAAATCTCTGAGCATTGGCGGGTTTGGAGGACGTGTCGGGGGCCGCGGCCTTTTCAATCAAAGCGCTCCAGAACGCACTGAGAGCGTTCCGGAAAGCTTTGGAACGGATTAATCTCGATTCTGGGCCCGTCCGACACCGCCCCCGCGCGCGTACCCTGTGACAGATCAGCTTGTTCGACGGGGTGGTATACAAGAATCGGGCCCCCATGGGGAGGCCAATCTTGTTCACCATCCCCTCTCCAGGGTCGTGTGCAGGCCCCGAGAAGGCCACTCGGAGTCGGCGGACAGCCCGGGGGGGAAGTCAGAGGGGGCGGGCTTTTTCAGAAGGCTCGGAAGTCCTCCGGCCTTCTGAGAAGTTGTCCATGTCTTCCCTGGAGACAAGGGAATATTCTCAGAAGGCCCGAGGGCTTCTGAGGAGGCCTTCTCCTTCTTACTTCCTCCCCTCGCTCGCCGCCGACACTCGGCGGGGCCAGCAGTGGGGCAACCAATCGTGCAGAGGCGCCCTGGGAGAGCCCCACGAGAGCGCATGCGGCGACGGAGGGCGGTGGGCCTTTCCAACAGCTGGCCTACAGTCGAAACGCTGTCATAAGGAACCCTAAAAAGGAGGAACGAGGCCCCTTTGCTCCATAAAGCTTCGACTGTCCGTCGAAGTCCAAAAATAAAACCCGAGACAAGCTGCACAACGATAAAGGAACTCTGAGCCCCTCCCCAACGAAAAGGATTCCTTCTTCGACGGCCCGACAGTAACTGTATGAGGGCTATGCTCCGGGCAGCCCCCCGTGCCGAAATGCGGGGTAAAACTGCAAGAGCTCTGGGCGCCTGGATCAAACCATCCAGGCTTTATCTTCGATGGCAACTCTGAAGGGGAACTGGGACACACAAATAAATACACACAAATAACATTACCCCCCATATTTTCATATATTTTCTGGGTTTTTGTCTTCCCCCCCACTTCCCATATTTTCCTATATTTTCTGGGAATCGCCGATTAATTGTGTCTGTGTGTTTTTTCCCCTCCTGAAACTCATGGGAGCCTCCCATACCATCTTGTCGGCTCTTGCGAATCGACGCCAGTCGACGATGAATCGACGCTAATCGACGCTAAAGTGACGGCAATCGACGCTGACCGACGCTAAACCGGCGCTATCGCATCGACCCCAAGACGCTAATCGACACCTAATCGACGCTTGAGACGGAAGTATACCAAGCTCCAATGATTGCTACCGAACTTTATCCGAGCAGTCCTCACGGAGCTCCGAAAATTTCTGCCTGCGCCAGCGTTTCATGTCCTCGAGGCCTGCGGGCTCCCGGCCTGCTGACTCCTGGGGAAACCAAAGGGTAGTGGTACCGCTACTCCCCAGACGTCTCCCGGGGTGCGCTCTGCCTAAAATGTTCAAGGCGAGTCCAGCGGTGGCGACGATGGCCTCCCAGGAGGCCCGACCAGGCCAAAACGAGGCAAGGGTATACTGAATGGGGCGTTTGTCAAGTGGAGGTTGATTGACCTTCCGACGGAGCTTGCCCCTCCTCCTCCTTCTCATCCTCCTCCTCATCCTCCTCCTCCCCCTCCTCCTCCCTCCTCCTCCTCCTCCTCCTCCTCCTCCTCCTCCTCCTCCTCCTCCTCCTCCTCCTCCTCCTCCTCCTCCTCCTCCTCCTCCTCCTCCTCCTCCTCTTCATTTCAACCCTTCCAACTCCCCTCCATCCCGACAGCACGTGCCCCCCCCCCCCCGCGGATCCAAAAGGGAGAAGGGGGGGATGACTGTCGCATCCAAGGCAGCGGTATCGTTAGCTTTTCCTCCTCTGAGCTCCCCCGAGGGCTGAGGGGCAGGGTCAGGCCGCGCGGCGAGCAGTCGCACGACAGCGCGGGGCTGAAGGGCAGCCGCGCGACCTGGTCCGGGGCGAGCACGCTCTCCAGCCTCCTTGTCCTGTCGGGGGCAGACGAACCTGCCTCGCTTTGGGCCACCCTCGCTTCGCGTGAAACAGCCCGCAACGGCCAGGCTGCCCGACGAGGTATGACCCGAGGTTGCCTGGGAGCGAGGGGGCGGAGTCCTCTCCCTCAGCACCTCCCTCTCCATGGCGATGTCCGCCTGCCTGACGTTGGAGTTGTCCAGGGCGGCCTGGCATTCGTCTCAGCGCTCCCTATCCCCACTGGTCGAGTAGGGGATCGACTACAGAATTGATGTACCGCAAAATTGATTCGTCCGTCGAGTATGCACACAGAAATACGGAGACTGTTCTCACATGGATCAACATGATACGCTGTTGTTGTTGTTGTTGTTGTTGTTGCAGATCCGACGAAAATGCCGATGTTGGGGCACATCAAATATGTAGTCGATCCCCTACTCGAACTGGCGAGACCTTGGCCCCACTGGCCGACCTGCCCGTCTAGGTGGGGAGACATGCCTGCTCCTCCGGGTTCCGCGGGGCACACCCACACCCAGGACGATGGCCCCGTGACGCTGAGATAGCATTGCCCTGTGGGAATGAGGATAGCAGAGGCCTCCCGGATGGGATCAGAGTAGATGGGGTCAGAGGATCGCGCCGCATCGTCGATACATCGGCGATGCATCGGCGACGTCGGCGATGCATCGGCGATGCATCGGCGACATCGGCGTGAAGGAATCGGCCCCCACGTCGAGACGCTTCGGCGATGACCCCACCTGCTCTGACCCGATCTGAGCAACGAAAAGGAACGGGTCTTACGCGAGATGGCAAAGCGACCTTGCGCCACAGCTTACGCGGGCCGCCAACGCGGCACGCCACGTCGGAAACGACGCGAGACCTTGCGCAGGCAGCCTACGCGACCAGGTCCACGCAGACGACCCCGTGATCTGCATTGGCCACTTGGGAGGCCCAGACTGTGGGGATGGGGCTAGGTCAGACGACGCTGCGGCCTGCAGATTGCCGACCTGCGCCGACAGCAGCTCCGCCTGCCGCTGCGCCTCCTGCGCGGCGCGAACCTGAGGGGGCAACGATAGAGGGAACATCAAAACTGAACCTGCGATACACCAAGATCCCCGACGACTCGGTTTCTGTTTCAATCCAGGCCCTGTTTCTCCATCTCGGCGTCGGATCAGCCACTGGGCATCGGGGCCAAGCAAGATGGGTGCAAAACTACCCCATTGGGGAAGGGTCCAAGGGTCCAGCCCTCTGGAGCAGTGGATTGATAAAAAAACAGATCGGAGGATGTCTGGGCATCGCCGATAAGATCGGCGATAGGCCCCCGATAGCGAAGCCGCACGCTCCTGGGCGGGATCGGGGGGGGCTCTCAGGCCCTATCGGCGATCGGTGGGCGATTGGGGGTCGATGCATCCCCCCCAGAGCACGTTGCCCTTGAGGGAGGAGGTCGGGCAGGGGGACCCCCCATTGCATATGATATACAAGGGGGGGCAGAGTTGCGGGGGGATATGCCATACCCCTCCGCAACTCTGCCCTGACGGACCCCGGTATTCGGATCGTAACTCGGCTCGCCGGCGGCCGTTCGGGACGATTCGAGCACCCTTGGACGACCTCGGCGAGGCGCAGCCGCTGGAGCGCATCCCGACGCTGGGAAACCGCCGAGAAGCGACGGAAACGCCCGAAGACCTCGTACCTCGAACCTCGACGCTTCGTCCCCCCTGAGTTTACTGTCAACCCGTAAAGTAAGGATGCGCGATCAGGGTTCAAGGGTCCTGGACGCCCATTTCGCGAAGCTTTTCGAGGGGGGCGCGGCCCACGAAAGTGGCCAAGGATGGACCGAGGAGGCAAGGAGGCAAGGGTACCCTTGGGAAGGTTGCCCATCCTTGCTATGCGGATTGACTGTACTTGGAGGTTGCGTAGCGGGGGGGGGCGATAAATTGGGGGAACAGCGAGGGCTGCCGAAGAGGAGGCCTCCAGGGCCCCTTGAAAGGGACCCTTGAGAGCCCCAGAGGGGGCCTTCCCCCCCCTCATTTCTACCGCCCCCCATGGCTTCGCGCCCCAGCTGTGAGGCCACATCATCTGCCGGCAGAGACGTGAGGCACGTCGCGTGCAGCGACGCAGGAGGAGGAGGAGGAGGAGGGGGAGGGGGAGGGGGAGGGGAAGGGGGGGGGAGGAGGAGGAGGAGGAGGAGGAGGAGGAGGAGGAGGAGGAGGAGGAGGAGGAGGAGGAGGAGGAGGAGGAGGAGAGATCGCCTGGAACCTCGATGCTTCGTCCCTCCCTGACCAGATGCCCCCCAAGCCTTGCCCCCCGAGCACCTTGGCGTCCCGCTCCTCCCTGGCCGCCCCCGCCTCCCGCGCGTGCGAGTCGCGCTCGGCGCGCAGCTGCAGCACGTCGGCCAGCCTCGCGTCCCGCTCCTGGGGACGCCAACGCATGGGAACAAGGAAACACGACACCAGCACCAGCAGGGCGAGGAGGTGCGAGAAGGCAAGGGAAGTCTCCCTGGTGGTGTGGTCCCCCCCTCTCGCTCGAGACATCCCCAGCATCCAGCTCGTGAAGGCATCGTGGACCTCCTCGCTGGAGGTGGCCCCCCTGGTGGTGTTGGTATCGCTTGTTCTCCCTCCGAAACGTATGAGGCGGCCATTGTTTTATGTTGTTCCCATCGCACGTAAGGACCACATCCAAGGAATAATTTCGAGAACCCAAAGAAGTATCGAAGCAGTGTCTGCTCGACACGCTGGCGAAATGTCGAACGAATCTCGCCTCCCAAAGCCCGACCCGAGAAAACCTCTCGGTTTCGGCATGTTTCCTTAGTGCTCGGAATTATTTCTGGTGATCGAGGCTAATCGAGGCTAAAGTAGGTTGGGCATCATAACCATTGTTTCGCTTGAACACCCATTGAAGCTTGGTGACCACAGACTATCCTGACAAATTAAAGGTGCGAGACCCGGGGGGGAGACCAGGGGGGAGCACTAGAATGGAAAAGATACAACGGTCACCAGGGGGGTTGAATAAACTGAGCCAGTGTCGAGTCGCTCCGTATTCAAACTGGCCGCTCACAGCGAGCTGGCGCACGGGCGGCAAGAAAACATGCAAGAGAATTAGCTCATCTGAATTGCTGACTGCGCCCGACGACCTAGACGGCGCTGGCGACAAACTGGCAAGATGCCTGAATCGCCCGATTCCCAATGCGGCGCCGCGAACCCCCCCACCCCCCCCGGGCATTGCCTCATCGCTTGTGAGGGGCAACGATATGGGGGGGACTAGCATGGGATGGGGACACGTCGACGTGGAATCGAAGATATATCGCCGATAGATCAGCGATAGGCTCCCGATAGCGAATCCGAACGTTCCTGAGCAGGTTGGGGCTATCGGGCCCCTATCACGATAGGGGGGGACTGGCATGGGGGGGAAACAGTGACCTGGAATCGCCGATATATCGCCGATAGAACAGCGACTGGCCCACCAAGGACCGACCGTCCCGGCATTCTCCGATAGGCCTACCACGACATGTTTTTAGAACCCAAAATGTTCTAAAAAACAAAGACAATGCTCTTAGAGCAAAACCAGACGTCTTGAAACAAAACAATATCAGCCAGAAGTATGACTAGAACAGTCCGTGCAGACCACAAGAGGTTCTCAGAAAATTCTCTGGTGGGCCTGCAAGAACCAGGATGCTTCGTCACTGCTTGAAATGTGCGATTGGGGGTCGATGCGTCCCCCCCCCTATGCCTCTCCTTAGGTCGGGCAGTTCCTCCTACAGGCGGATTGTACACGAAAGAACTCACAACTAGCCAAACAAAGATTCGAAAATAGTCTGAAATGGTGAAAAATCGTCCCCAAACAATGCTTGCCAATATTTAGATATTCCTCCTGTAGAAGGACATGCCCGACTGAAGCCTATCCCCCCCTGTCGTTGCCCCCGAGCTTGGCCGCCTTACCGATGCCGCTGTACTCCTCCGAGGGAACCTATCCATGGGCGCGTCCTGGCCAGGCATTCGAGGCGACGCCGGCCCCTGCGGTTAGGTCGGACATGTCATCCTACAGGCGGACTCTGGTGTATATATATATATATATATATATATGTGCTCGCCCCCCCCTGTGATCATACATTTTGCTTTCTTTCTCATCCTCCTCGTCGTCGTCCTCCTCCTCATCATCATCATCCTCATCGTCGTCGTCGTCGTCCTCCTCCTCCTCCTCCCCCTTTTCCTCCCCTCCTCCTCCTCCTCCTCCTCCTGTTCCTCCTCCTCCTCGTCATCATCATCATCCTCATCCTCATCCTCCTCATCCTCCCCCTCTCCCTCCCCACCCTCTCCTTTCAACCTGTCTCCTCCCCACATGTTCATACACAAACCAAGTCTTCGACACTGCAAAGCACTTCCACGGCGCTACTCTGGACGGGCATCCAAAAAAGGATGCCCCTCTGTGGCGGACGCGGGCCCAGGAGGGAACCCAAAAAACGGGTTACCATCACTGTGCCCCAGCACAAGGCCACATGGTCGGACGCCTGTTACGCAAGGACACCAGCAACGGCTCAGCATCAGTGATGATACCACACAACAAACCAAAACTTCGACACTGCGAAGCGCTTCCACGGCGCTACTCTGGAAGGGCATCCAAAAAACGGATGCCCCTCCGTGGCGGACGCGGACCCAGGAGGGAACCCAAAAAACGGGTTCCCATCACTGCGCTCGAACACAAGGCCACATGGCCGCACGCTCGTTACGCAACGACACCAGCAACGCCTCAGCATCAGTGATGACACCACACCACAAACCAAGTCTTCGACACTGCAAAGCACTTCCACGGCGCTACTCTGGAGGGGCATCCAAAAACGGATGCCCCTCTGTGGCGGACGCGGACCCAGGAGGGAACCCAAAAAAGCGGGTTACCATTACTGTGCCCGAACACAAGGCCACATGGTCGGACGCCTGTTACGCAACGACACCAGCAACGCCTCAGCATCAGTGATGATACCACACAACCAACCAAAACTTCGACACTGCAAAGCGCTTCCACGGCGCTACTCTGGAGGGCACCCGAAAAACGGATGCCCCTCCGTGGCGGACGCGGACCCAGGAGGGAACCCAAAAAACGGGTTCCCATCACTGTGCTCGAACACAAGGCCACATGGCCGCACGCTTGTTACGCAACGACACCAGCAACGCCTCAGCATCAGTGATGACACCACACCACAAACCAAGTCTTCGACACTGCAAAGCGCTTCCACGGCGCTACTCTGGAGGGGCATCCAAAAACGGATGCCCCTCTGTGGCGGACGCGGACCCAGGAGGGAACCCAAAAAACGGGTTACCATTACTGTGCCCGAACACAAGGCCACATGGTCGGACGCCTGTTACGCAAGGACACCAGCAACGCCTCAGCATCAGTGATGATACCACACAACAAACCAAAACTTCGACACTGCAAAGCGCTTCCACGGCGCTACTCTGGAGGGCACCCGAAAAACGGATGCCCCTCCGTGGCGGACGCGGACCCAGGAGGGAACCCAAAAACGGGTTCCCACCACTGTGCTCGAACACAAGGCCACATGGCCGCACGCTTGTTACGCAACGACACCAGCAACGCCTCAGCATCAGTGATGACACCACACCACAAACCAAGTCTTCGACACTGCAAAGCGCTTCCACGGCGCTACTCTGGAGGGGCATCCAAAAACGGATGCCCCTCTGCGGTGGACGCGGACCCAGGAGGGAACCCAAAAAACGGGTTACCATCACTGTGCCTGAACACAAGGCCACGTGGTCGCACACGTGTTACGCAACGACACCAGCGAGGGCAAGAAGGAGCTCTTGGACAACTTCAAGGAGTTGTCGCCGCCCGCTGGGGTCATCATTGTCTCGGACAAGTGGAAGGGGACCATTGCTGCCGTGAAGCAGTACCGCACTGACGCGGGCCTCACCGAGCGGATGCTGCCGCACGAGGTAGTGAACCACAGCGCTGGCGAGATCACGAACGAGAGAGGGTTCACTACCAACCACATAGAGCTTCAATGATCATTGATCAAGCGATGGGTCAGGAAGCGCTACGGCGGCATGTTGCCCAAGAAGGCCAACAGACAGAAGTGGTCGAGGCTCCTTGCCGGGCATAGATTCCGCACCCACATCAAGGCCGTTGAGCAGGAAGTGACTTTCAGGGCGCTGGCGGCCGCGTTCCAGGTGTGATGCTCTGCCTAGGGCACGGCGCTTGCCATCCACTGGCATATGAACGTTCAAATCATTAGTGTCTTTTTGAAGCGGAGCTTGAGCTATGTCGGGGAAGAAGAATCCCCGCGCGAACGCCATGCCGCAGCGCCCCGAGCTGATCGCGAAAAGCTCTGCCGATCATCGCCATCGCCGTTCCGCTTGCCGCCGCTTCAGCATTCGGCCCCCTCGGCCCCGAAAAACCAGAAAAGGGGGGCCCACTGCGGCCCATGTAGTTTTTCCTAAAAGCGCAGGGGCCCAAACGATCTTCTAACCTACTTTTTTTTTACTTTTTTAAATGTGGTCGTTGCTGGGCGTTCGGAGGTTGAAGGTCGAAGCTTCTGGGGGAGTAAGCCCAAGGCCCCAGAACAGACTCAGGAGGAAGCTCATGGCCCTAGGAGGAAGCCCAAGGCTTAGAAACTGCAACCCGATGGAAACTAACGCGCCCCGACAGCTGCCGCTTTGGCTCAAACTGCTTCTAGCCTTTGCTCGCGATTGCTCTGCCGTAGCGCCCCCGTGCCATGGCGCGCCCCGCTGCTTCCGCTGGCCGCGCGGCGACGCGCCCCGCCGCAGCGGTTCGTGGAGTGCAGAAGGGCGCTTGCCTCAAGCGCCCCGCGAGCACTTTCAACCCTTACACGGCGCCGAAGCGTGGGAGGGGCCGCGTGCAGGGCAGGAGGGGGAAGCAGGCGGGCGACGTCAAGTACGTTCGTACGGCTGGAGGCACCAAGAAGACGCGGGTGGAGCGCGATACGCGGTGCCGCAACATTGATTCCTTCCACGTGGAGAACGAGAGCAAGCTCGTGGACCTCCTAATCGAAGACGGAATTCTGCTCGACTGGGCAGGGTTGACGTGCCCCTTCTGCGGCAAGGGCACCCTCGGCGACCGATACGCCAGGGAGTGGGATGGCGGCTCTGGCTGCGCATGGCGGTGCAACGATGGGAGGAACTGCGGCAAGCAGGTGCGGCCCACCCATTGCCATCCAATTTTCTCCAGCGGCTGGGGGAAGGAGACGTCATCCTTGAAGGACAAGACGAGAGTCCTCTTCGGCGTCGTCACGGGGATGACGGCCGCGCAGATCCACCTCCACTACGGCGTCAACCACAAAATGATCGAGGGCACCACTCGCAACCTTGACGTGGCGCGCGCGCAGTATGTGGAGAAATGCGAAAAGAACATCGTGTTCGGAGACGGCAAGACGTGGGTGGACATG